TGGAGGCACAAACTTCTGTTGTCACCAAAGCATGGAAACAAAACATCCCTCATTTTCGTTCTAAACAGATGCTTTTTCATTAGAGCTTGACAAATAGACTTAAAGACAAGCAGTCGCGTGATGCAAGCATGTTGTAACAGAGAAACTTCTAAATATTCAGTATTAATAAGAAAACACTTTGGTACAGACACAAGAAGTTGTCTTTCTTAGACTGTTGTCTGTGTCTATGGGAAATCAATACTTCCTGCAATACTTAATTAAATTGGTGTACTGGGGAAATTAAAGTTTCTAGTCATTATTGGGTCTGTAACATAATAATACTAATACAAATGCTAATGCTACTATTGCAACTACAAAAAAGAAATACAATTAAATTATAATAAAACTAAAACAATACATATAATAACAATTATAACAACAACAACAACAATAATAACAATGCAAAAAAATAAAAATTTATAGTTTTTGTTAAACAAAATAATAAACAATTACAGTCTGTTATTATTAATTCAAATTATTTTGCTGTAAAGTGTATGCAGAATTTTTAAAAATGTGTTTTATTGTTATTAGTATGTATATATATATATATATATATATATATATATATATATATATATATATATATACAATTACTTTTTGTAATTGTAGTAGAACATACATAACAATAACAATGTATAATAATAAAGAAATGTTAGTTTATATGTATCCTTATTATGTATTGTATTGATTCAGTTTTGTGAATAATAAAAATAATAATAATTAAAATAATAACTATTCGTTTATTTATTTGTTTTCTTTTTATGTAATGTATTAATACAGTTTTATCCATATTAATAATCATTATTATTATAATTATTAGTTCATTTTTTGTTCTCTTATTGTGTAATGTATTGACTTAGTTTTATCCATAATAATAATAATGCAAAAAAATATAAAATAAAAAAATCTATATTTTAAGAATATCTTTAAAAAAAAAAAGTTTTTAAGTAAAATAAAAAAATTACAGTCTTCAATAATCAATATTAATTTGCTGTTAAGTATATGCAGAATTTAAAAAAATATTTTAGTGTATATATATATATATATATATATATATATATATATATATATATATATATATATATATATATATTACTATTTGTAATAGTAGAACATACATAACAATAACAATGTAAAATAATAAATAAATATTAATTAACTTATTTCTATTCTTATTATGTAAGTTTTGCTGTTAAGTATATGCAGAATTAAAAAAAATATTTTTAGTGTGTGTATATATATATGTATATATATATATATATATATATATATATATATATATATATATATATATATATATATATATATATATATATATATATTACTATTTGTAATAGTAGTAGAACATACATAACAATAACAATGTAAAATAATAAATAAATATTACTTTATTTATTTCTATTCTTGTTATGTAATTTATTGATTCAGTTTCATGAATAATAATTATAATAATATTATTTATAAATATTAGTTTTTTTTATTTGTTTTCTTATTGTGTAATGTAATGATTTCGATTTATCCATAATAATAAAAATAATAGTAATAATAATAATAATAATAATAATAATAATAATTATTATTATTATTATTTAATATTATTATTATTATAGGGTGTCGCGGTGGCGCAGTGATTAGCACGATCACCTAACTGCAGTTTTGATTCAGTTTTATCCATATTATTATTATTATTAATATAATAATAAATAATATTAATATTAGTATATGTATCAATTTTCTTATGTAATGTAATAATAATAAAAATAATAATTATAATAAATATTAGTTTATTTATTTGTTTTCTTATTATGCAATGTATTGATTCAATTTAATGCATAACAACAACAACAACAACAACAACAACAATAATAATATATTTAATAAAGACAATTAATACATCATATCACATTTATGGTTGTTGGTAATTGTTGCTATTAATACTTTACTATCATTGTTGTTTTAAAATGTACATATTATAAACATTACTCTTATTACTATTCCTGCATAGTAATACTATTTGTACACAATTATGTGTGCGTGGATAGAAAGATAGACAAGTTTTACATTAAAATACATATTTGCATATTATAGTTTGCTATATTAGTATATCAGTAAGGAAACACAAACACTTAAGATATACAGATCGAAATGCTCCTGGGAAACGTAGTGATTGATTTTGCTCACAAGTATAATCCTCCACTTAACACCCAAATCCATCTGATCTTAGAATTAACACATGCTAAATATGCAAGAAAGAGTGGTTGACATATCTTGCTTCAGCCACTCATTTTATAAGGCGTCTAACTTTACTGCATTCTCTGTGGTTGCTGATGGAGTACAATTCTCTTATGAATAATACCATGACTAATCAGTTGTCAGTTGTAAATATGTCAGTGTCAAAAACTTCAAAGGTTTAGGACGGTAACAGTAATCGCACCCCAGTGCCATTCAGACCGTGAGGACACTTCACAAGGTAGTTAGAGCAATAGATTTAACATTAACGTCACTGAGGGAAAATGTCCATGAGAAGGGGGAAAATAAATGCTAATCCCAGCAGGAAGGTTGTGAGGTAAGCAGAGTTTACTGTGGTGATGGGAGGATCCTTCATCTCCCTCGAGTCCCTGCTGATTAGAGAAGAGCTCACAGCTTGGCAAGGGTCCAGAGCCTCACCTTCGCCATTAAACTTGTTCATTCAGCACTAATGCCAGCTGAGATCTTGTTCCTGTCCTATTGTCCCCTGGCCACAGAGCTGTCAGACTGCATGCTTACTGAGGATGATGCAAAGAAACAGCCCGACGTCCATTCTGCCCTAGATCTCGTCCTAGACCGCTATCTCCTCTCTGACCATTACCGTGAACATGACAGGCCCGTACCTGTCTGCATGGATGGCAATGCAGTCTTTTTTTGTATTTGCTCTCACACTCAGCACATTGTCTGGTTGAGGGACACCTACAGTACGTGTAGGCAGAATGTAGACCGATGCTGTTTTTTTTTTAGATCAAGGGCAATCACATATTCTGTAGTTAAATATTAACGAAACGTCATCTGCCTAGTTTAGCAAGAATTGCACTATTATGTGTTACTGCATTTAGTAAGAGTTTGTGTATTCTTGTGGCCACAGATATTGGATGAATAATTAATTTGAGCAACAAAACAGTGAAGACTGCTCTGTATTTCTCTACAGTGAACAGATGTCCTCTTTATCACGTACGCCTGTAGTGAAAACCACATGATCTTTCAACAAAACATGCATCTGGAAATGCCTTTCCATTGTTTACTGTATATACAGTAGCATATGTGTTCCTGAACATTTCAGTTAAAATCAACTTTAAATGGCAGAACGTTTTAAGAAATGTTATATGGACGCATTTCGTTCACTGCCAATTTAAATATTTTTTAAGATTGTTAAAAGTATATTCACCCAAAATTGCATCCTCTTTAATAATTTACTCACCCTTTACTGATTCAAAACTCGTTTGAGTTTCTTTCTTCTGTTGAACACAAATATTGAATTTCATTGTAATTTTGCTTCCAGCAACTAGCATTCTTCAAAATATATTCTTTTGAGTTCAGGAGAAGCAAAAAAACAAACAAACAAACAAACAAACAAAAAAAACTCTTAAAGGTTTCAAACCACATGAGGGAGAAATAAAGGTGCTATACTTTTCTGACTCATCTAAAGCATAAAAATACCATAATATGTTTGCAGATATTTAAGAAACATTCCAAGTGGACATACTTGTTTATCTAAAAAACAATGCTGACGTCAGATATTCTGCTTTGAAAATGTTTTTTTCTGTACTGGAATGCTGTCTTTGTTTTAGTTCTTTTAACTGGCCCACTGTCACTTTAGCCAATTATATTTCAGCACCCCGGGTTGCCTTGTTGGAAAAACGCATATTTCATTCATTCATTCATCCATTCATTCATTCATTCATTCATTCAGAAAGGCTCTCAAAGCATGCGTCTGTGACTGAAATGCGACCTCCGGTGGACAGTAGCAGACTCCAAAAGGAGATGTAAATTCTGAGTTATACATGAGGTCATTAATTCTCAAATAATAGAAATAACAATGTAAACATTAGGTAAGTAAGTTACATTGTAACCCCGTGTCCCAACAACACGCTACGTGATGGGATTTGCAGTGAATGGCTGTTTGCACCAAACAAAACACGACAGAAATTTAAATACAGTCATACAGAAGTACAGAATATGCACTCACTCAAATGGTAGGGTTTATAATCTAATTTATACATATGATAAACCTCTTTAACATTATTAAATGTACAGGCTGAATCACTCATATGTGTTGGTTTTGAGTCTAAAGTTCAATTTCAAATTGTTTATTTAATTTTCAAGATCTGGGGGTAAACCATCCGTCGCTGCTTTCAGTAGTATGACAATAAATGTCAGGTAAAATGGCATTCAAACTCTCATTATTAGCATTTAACACTGAATAAAGCACATGAGGTGTACCTGAGGCGATCATTGTCAGTTTTCTGTTGTTCAGCTGCAAGAAATAGAAGCCATTTCTAATATTTTGATTTGAGGTGTTGGTTAAGACAAAAACTCCTTTTAACATGGACAATATTCCTTCTATCGGGTGCCATTGCTTTTATTTAGAAAACGATTTAAATCAGCTTTGTTGGTCCTCATTCTGGCAATCTGCATTTGTGTTTGTTTTGATCCAGGTATGCAATACCTAGTTCAACCACTGGGTGGCAAACTTACATACTGCACCTTTAATAATAAGGTCATTTTCATTTTTGCATGAATTATCCCATTTAATTGACCAACAGTGGCACTGAATAATACAAAGCAAATCAGAGTCTATCAAAAACAATTCAACACATTTTATTATCGTTAACTAAACCAGCAGAGATGTTTACAGAAGGACTTGTTCAGACAGTGAGTGAGAACCCCCAGGGAATTGTTTTTAGTGCTTTTTAGTGTTTTTTTTTTTTTACTTCCCTGTATTTCTGAGTGGGCAATGTCACAAGGGATCCTGGCTCCCGGTAGGCCCGATTGTCGTTTAGTCACAGAGATGCTCTCTAGAGGTCAGACCTGGTCAAATATATTTAGCTGCGTAAATTGGATTCTGTGGTAAGGGCAAAAGTCTGCTGGATAGCTGGGCATGTTTAGCTCGCAGATGTGATTAACTGATTCATCTTTGGGATAACCGGGATGGTCGTTATCATGGTGACTCCTGACAGCTTGATGTCATCTTGCAGGTTGAGTAAAAGCCCGCTGGAACAGCGCCACAGCTGTGGGCCAATGTGGTCATAACTCTTTAGCTGACAGCTCATTCAGGTGACCCTCAAAAGGGCTGCATTGCTGTCACTTATGACACAGTGTGGCGGAGGTAAATATATTAGCATAAGTTTGAATTAATGTTCCCTGCGGTGAAAGGGGTGGCCGCTCTGCAGCCGGTTCCTCTGCAAAATCTTCAGGATTGTCACACTGCACACCTGTGCAATGTCACCATTTGTTCTGTTCTTGTCTGATAACCCTTTGCTTAATGCATGCGCGCTAGCACAGATGCACAAGTACATGCCGCGATCTAAACGATAATCATATCAGTGTCTGGGCCTGGCCGAGAGTGATCGGTGAAAGCACATCTATAAAGGGATTTTGTAAGAAATAGCCTGGTGAGCTATTTATAGCCCTGCGGGAGGTGGCAGAGGGAGGGGTGAGTGGTGATACCATGAAGTTATACACCACGCTCTATGGACAATTCCCGGGTCAAAGACACAGAGGCCAGACTGTAATTTAAATGCTGCCTGATAAGACGTAAGTGTTGCTGCATGCAAACACAAACGAGTGTGCAAACGGGGGGTCTGTGATTTGTCTGAAGTACTTTGTTCCATCTATTTGTGTTCACGTCCAGCTTTTTTTGCAACTTATAAAGCACAAAAACAGCCCAGAAGAGCAGGCACTGCAAAAGTACCTCTCAGCGTAGTCTGTTGTATAATCCCTCTTGGGGCCCCAGAGCTATTTTTGTTCCTGGATATGCGTCACGACTGGGTATTTTCTCTGGTGACTAGCTTACATCAGTAGGTCTCCTAGTATACGCTCTATCAGCGAGAGCCTTCTGATTGATGGGAGTTTCGGCTGGGGCTGGCTGTCGTTTTATTACCGACCTCCTAGAATGGACAAGGGGAATTTGAGATCGGCGGAATGTTGTGGTTGACTGAGGACCTTGAAAAGCCAGGTTGGTTCACAAATCCATTTTTTTTCCGGCTTGTTGTGTTGTGTCTCTACCAGAGCATCTAGCGTTGATCGGAGAGGTGATATCCCCGTGTGTGTGTTTGTAAACTGAAGGGGGTGATGATGTGAACCGTGAGGACTGGAAAGGGAACGGAGGAGCGTGTGTTAGCTGTTTATCCGTGGGATGCAGCAAGCTGTCAGTGACAGAGTCTCTACTTGCTCTATTCCTTTGCACAGCTTGCATGTTGCAGTAATATTAACACTGCGATTAAAGCCTTGCGTTGGTGAGGAATCTTGTTCCTGAGCATGTCCTTTACTTTCATTGTTCTCTCCTGTGCTTATTCTCACACTTGTTGTTACGGCATGGATGGTACATAGCTGTTTGACTTCCATAGATACCAATGCATCCTCGCAGTCTGTGCAGAGAGGAATGTCAGGGACACCCCTCACATACCCCCACCAAATTCCCCACTGAGTTCACATGCCTCACATCATCCATCAGTTGCACTGGGAATTATTAAAAAATGCTTGTTTGCACAATGCGTCTCATCTGTCTCTGTGTATGCAACCCCCCGCTCGCCCCCCCAACACAGCTGTCTGCTTTATCAGCATGGCATAATTCATTATGTGAGGGAAGGCTCCAGCGATAACGCAGGGGAACACCCGGCGAATGTCATGGGCACATGTATCCCAGCCCTAGTTTACAGATGCATGGATTTCTTCAAACACTATGCATATACCTAGCATGTACCATGCTGAATCTCTTCAACAGCGACCTTGAGAAGCAGGTCAAAAGAGCATATCCTCCTTGTTTTCTTCCGTCCTCCTCCTACTGTTGTGTGTCTGCTTGTGCAGAGAGGAAGAATTGTAATAGTCTGTCTGATAAGCAGTGGAACGATCCTCCCTGCCAAGCGTGCTAAAGCATTTTCCATTCACAAATACTTCACACTCCGGATTTGTCTGCTTTACTGTAGTTCGGAGATGAGTCCCTGTAGCGGCGTTCGGAAAATGCCCTCTTTGACGTGCGTCAAGGAATTGAGCAATTCTTGTGTATGGATTGCTTTGTGTAAATGGTTTGTTGTTTGTTTGGAATCCACACTTTCTCCCTTGGGTTCCGAACAAGTGTGTCAATGGAGGGAAGTCTGCCACGGTAGATCCTTTTGACCTGTCAGCGTGAAAGAGAGCAATTACTGAGAGGAGTGGGGGCTCTGTCCGGCTATGAACGTGAGCGTAATGCGATGTTAGTCTGCCACCGCTGCACTCACGGGATTACAGCAGACCCTTGTGCACAACAACTCGATACAGACCCCGCTTCATCAATTGCTCTGTTTTGGCAATGGGACAGGATGTAATCGTGTCCAGCTTTGGGGCACTGCATTCTTTTCTGCTTGCCATTATTTGATTAGCCCAAAATCTTGGTTTTCTGGATTTGTGAACGTTAACTAAGGACTTGGATGGAGGTTCCCAATATGACCCCTTAATTTAATCTATTCCATTTCAAAGGAATTATTTAAAGGAATTTAAGAAATAATTCAAGAAAAAAAGTCAACTTTTATTTACTCCTTATTCCAGACATTTCTAGCAGAATACAAAGGAAGATTTATTGTTGTTATTATCATTATTATTATCATGAGTAGTTGTAGTAGTATTATATATTTAGTTTAATATAAACTCTTTTCCATGTACATTTTATCAAATGGGACTGAAGAATCATAAATGGATTTAAAAAGCAGTCTATATGTCTTTCAAGAAAACAGTATCCCAAGAGGACCCTTGACTTAAACCAGTTGTCCCAACATTTTTATCACCACAAAAATAATTAATGATTTCTTGCATGACCAGTTGATCCACGGACCGATACCAGTGGTTGCAGACCACTGACTTAACCCACTTGTGAACTTGCGCACCACTTTATATGGGTCACAGAAATACTAACCTAAATCAAAGGGTTCAGTTTCAAACAAATCATTCAGATTTTGCTAATTTTATCAAATAATTCGATAAATAATCTGTATTGTTGCTTCAGCTGCTTTAATATCTAATATTTATGTTTTTAATTAATTGCCGAAAACAGTAGTAGATCTTGTTTAAAAGCACTGATTGTTTATGAATCATTTATCACTACTTAACTGAAGAATGGTCAAAGGTAAGCTAGTGAAGAAAACAACTTACATTTCCCTCTTCAGATGCTTCAGCTTCACTATAGCTTCAGCGGTCTTGGAATGCATGAGTCATGTAGAGCTACTTTTATCGTATTATTATATATACGTTTTTTTCTGGTGCTTGAAAGCGTAGGTACTAATTCATTGGAACTACAAGGAGAAGGGCGATGAGTACATTATTTAAAATTCTTCTTTTGTATTTCATGAAAGCAAGAAAGGTTTGCAAAGACATTAGGCCAGAGAAAATGAAGGTATTTCTTTGAAATAAAAGAATATGCTATATAAATATTTGACCAACCCTCAAGCACAACGGCTCTGCACTTCATTCAGCAGCTGACCTTGTCTTCTTTTGTGGGCCCTACACAGTGTTGTTCCAGCATTTGCTGTCTTTGTAAACTTCCTTTTTTCACGGTTTCCATGAATGAAACGATTTCTCTGCAGAAAAAAGCTCGCCACTCGTTTCCACACATTAGCATGCATTTTTCTTCTAATCATGACACATTTTCATTCCTTTTTAGACCGAAGTGGTTGTTAAATGTCTTTGCATGCTGATTAGAATCAGCCATTTACAGTTAAAGACCTGATTTCTTAGAAGTATATAAAATAGTGTTTTGATGAGAAATTCCACCATTCAATGGCTAAGCTGAAAGCGGCTCTGAAGTGAATAGTACGGGCAGCAGGAGGCCACCTGTACACCTGAGAAGAATCTGTTCAGTTCTTCATTTCTATACTGCACAGTGTGTAAACGGAGTCTTTACAGAGGCCAGAGATGGAGCACAGATGTACAGACAGACATACTGCACAGGTGCTACATGAGAATGGCTGAACACGCATGGAAAACTGCACAATATCCTGCATTAAATTTATAATTGAACAAATATATATGAAGTATAAGACTGTTTCAAGAAGACTTTTGTGTTTGGGCAGTTTTCATGATAGCTCATGTCTAGGTGATTGCTTAGAGCTTCATGCATTTAGGAAAGTTAATTCCATTTTAATTAAATATTTAAAATAAATCATCTAAAGCTAGAGAAAACCTATTTTCTTGTATTATACAAACACAGTAAAAAATTATTGCTGTCGTAAATGATATTTTTTTAGTCATCTCAACTTACATTAGTCAAACTGACTAAAATTATGATGTTAAACTTTGCATAACTTAAAACAATTAAGTCGAAATTAAGCTATTATAAGCTATTATATGATAAATATAAATTTATATATTATATATTAATATATTATATTTATTATTAGTTAAAGTAACATAAACGCTTTTGCTGTGATGGCTTTTTGTTTTCGAACATTTCACAAGTTTTAAGGAAAAGTTGTTTCTCAACACATTTCTAAACATAATAGTTTTAATAACTAAATTAAATAACTATTACTTTGTTTTTTGGTATTATGACATTATCTACACTGTAAAACCCACAAAGTTAAGGTAACTCAAACCCATTGAGGAAACTGATTGTAACAAACCATTTAAGTTCAAAAACTAATCCTAATGAGTACTGTGAACTTAATCCATTTGAGTAAACGAAGCAATTTGAGCACAGTAAAACACAATAAATGAAGAGAACTCAAACCAATTGAGCACTGTAAAACTCAGTAAGTTAAGGCAACTCAAACCATTTGAGGAAACCGATTGCAACAAATCATTTTAATTTAAAAAAATAATCTTTTTGAGTACTGTGAACTTACTCCATTTAAGTTGAAGTAATGAGGCATTTAATTAACTCTTTTCAAATGAGTTAATTTAACTTTGTCAATTTTGGGTTGACTACACGCAAGTTATTTTGCAAGGTTTGTGCAAGATATAGTATTCAGCTAAAAGTGCTATTTAAGGGTTTAATGAAAGTTAATTTAGGTCAAATATGCAAGTTAGTGTAATTAGGCAAGTTTTTGGTTTGTTCTGTAGCCAATCTAAAAAAAAATAAAAAAAAATTTAAGGGGCCATGTAACTACCTTATTCAAGTCTACTCTTCCCAAACACTGATGTCCATGCGTTCCACTTATTGAACACAGTGAAAACTAAAAAGACAAACAAACAAACAAACCAATGTTTCACACAAACACAACATGATCAAAAGGACATCAAAATAACCAAAAGAAAATACAAACAATATTTCCTTTACCGTTTTGGCCTGATGACCAGCAGCAGAATAATCAGGAGCATTTAACCTGTGTCTGCATTGGGATCTCACCATGCTGTCTATACAAACTCTCGCAGGTTAAATTAACCAGGGAGGATCACGTGACCTCTGACTCAATCCAACCGGAAACAAGTAAATTTATCAAATAAACATAAACCAATACACATTCAAATATTGAAATACGAAAAATAATAAACAAAATACAAGCTGATCGATTAGCTTAATTAAAAACTGCTTTTATTCCAGACAAACTAAAAGAAATGAGTTTATCCAGAAGAACAAATGTAACAGTAAACGCCTTCACTGTTTATATTCATGCAATATGAATAATGCAATATTACTATAACAATATTATTATTATTATAATACAATATTAATGTAATATACATGGGCTTTATTCAGTATATTTACATTTTTGCTGATTTTACCTATGTCTGGATTTGTAAGACTCACATTCCTGAAGCTAGAAATATTAAATAAAAATCATAAACTGAATTGGGGAGGTTGGTTTTATTAAAGTGTATATGAGGGGAACCCACTTTTTCATAGACATTAAGCTAACTAATAGTTTCTCAAACAAACTCAAACCATTATGTTACTTTATAGTTTAAATAAGTATACAGTGTAAGCAAACAGATTTTTAAAAACTCATCAGCAATCAGAATTATCTACAAAATCAGTGAATCATGATG